ATGGAAGAAAGGAAGGCTGACCAATTTAATGACTAGTCCAGAAAGGAGATAAACAAAAGCTGGAGTGTTAGAAGCAGTTTGCAATATAAGGAGGAGGAGCAGGAAAAAGATTAATGTTTTTAATGGAGGAAATGCCATTCTTAGCATAAATCGTCAGTGAAGCGCATCACTGATTCAATCTGCCGGGCTGTCATAAGCTTCACAGACAGTCTATTGAGCACTACAGAAATGATACGTACATTCCCAAGGCATTATTGTATGAGACAGGTGAAATCAGTTGAGCAATGAAAGACGAGTACTGAGCTGTGTTTTCACTCATGAAGTTGAGGACCACACCACAGGGCTTTTACCAGAGCTAGCTGAGAGTAATATTTCTACCTTAAGGAAAATCCAAAGGTCTAACAGGTTCCTTTCCAAACAAGGATGAAATGCCAAAATATCAATTTTTCAAGAAACAAAGTATTATGTAGCCTCGAGAAGGGAAGTGGGGAGAGGAGGGAAAGCTGTTCTTTGCTCTCCAGCACTTACAGGCTATTGCAAAAAGAAAGCAATAGTTTCCTCTTCTTGTCTACGCAGAATAAAACAAGTAATTAGGAGCTTAATTTTAATTAGGTTAAGACCTCAGGAGCCTCTTTTAAGGTAAGAAGAGGAAAGAATAATTGGAAAGCTTGTGGAGCCTCTGTCACTGGAGGGCTGTAAGAGCAGCGTAAGCAAATGCTGGTCAGGAATGGCTGAAGCACAGGTGATCTTTGAAACAGGAGGAGAGGTTTCTCAAAAGAGGATTTAGCACAGCCTTACTTTCTTTTATTTTGGCTTCACTGAAACATTTTTATTCTTGATTACATTTCATTTTAAAGCTCAGAAGTGTCTGAGAGGGATGGAAGTTGTTGCTTTATATGTATGTAAATACTGTAACATCTACCGCATTACCATTAATTTACCAGATTTACCATATAAATTGTGGTAATTTGTTTAGATATATCTAATTACAGAAAAGGACATTCACTGACTGCCTGTGAAAAGTCTAATTATGTTCTCAGGAAATGTTCAGATGCTGATCTTCCATGGTGACAGATCTTTGTTAATATGAAACACCAGCAAATTTCAATTTAATTTTGCATGGTAAGACTAGGCCTAGCTTCACAAAAGTGAGTAGAGTTTTTAGGAACCCAACTTGAAACACTTATGTTTGAAGAATAAAGTCTGTCAGTACTGTGCCACCCATAGGCTATAACTGAAAGCTAGACACCTTAGTCCTACAGGGCTATAGGAGTGAATCCGGTCATCCGCTCTGTCACCTTAGTGGTGGAAATACAAATCTACAATGCAGCTGGAACAGTGACTTCCTAAGGGAATGAGATGATGCCATAGTTTTGCAAGTTCTGTTTCAAGGACTGCATCTGCTTTATGCCTTCAGGTTTTGAATAGGACGTGTCTGAAAGAGCAGCGTCTAAGATGCATGTTTGAATCCCCTGGGCTAAGACAGTTTTCCAAGGGTGACGCTGCTTTTCTCAATGTCTGATAAATATATTTGTAAGACTAATTTTTTTCAGTTAATATACCTTAGTGTTGCTAATACCTTCCTCTAGGAGCCTGTTACCTTGTTGACGGATGTGAGCTTTAGTGTCAAACAAGCTCTGTTTTAAGAGGATGGACTGAAACTGCATTGCTTTTGGTAGGGAGTGGAGAAAGGAGAATTCCTTTGCTCTCTCGACTGAGGGAGGGCTCTGGAGCTGCTGAGTGACACCGCAGCACCGCACTGCCTCTCCGCTGGGCAAATAAGATCTTGCAAGGCATCTTTGCAAAGAAGCTGGCTTAAAGCCAAAGCTTGTCAAAGGAACCTGTCTTCTGGTGTTTTTAAGTGATTTATATCTCAGTCAAGAGGAAGACAAGCAAGCATTTTCAGTTGTGATGGCTGGTCACAAAACTTGCCTGGAGGGTAAGAAGCGAGTGGATGGGGTACTTCAGGACATGGTTTAGTGGGCATGGTTGATGGTTGGACTTGATGATCTTGAAGGTCTTTTCCAACCTAAATGATTCTATGATTCTATGAAATGCTGCTTTTCCTCATACTAGAAGGCTTCTGCTCTACCCGGTAGCCTTGCATCTGGTTTGCCAAAGCAAAGTCCCGCATTGAGGCAGAGGAGCCTTTGCACCACTTGAGTTACAAATCTCTTCAGTTCACTTTTTTTGTTGTTTTCTTTGTTTTGGGGTTTTTTTTGTTTTTGTTTTTTGGGGGGGGGGGGTGTTGGTTTTTTGTTGTTCTAGAGCAGGGAGGGGGTGGTGCAATATATAGCATAACAGCTCCTGCACAGTAAGACACAGTGTAGTACTTAGTAGAGTTTGAGACTGGTAGATGGCATTGGCAATGGAGGGTTCTGCGTCCAGTGCAGGCTTTGCAACATGGAAGCTCAAAATTCATTCCCCAGGTCAGAAACACGGTGTTAGTGCCATGTTGTCTTTTGCCTTTGGGGAATTACTTTTTCATAATTAAAACTAGATCTCTTGCTGGGAAACCCTTGACTTTGTGTGCAACAGATTGAACTAAACTGCATTGTGTCACTGAGTTAGCATCTTAAGAAATCACATATGAAGTATCTGGTGTGCAACTGGTGCTGTCTAGCCTGTTCTTACTTTGTGCTGGTCTAAACTCCCACCTTGGAGAAGCAGGGGTGTACCAAAACCCTCTGCCCCCCAGGGACTACATCCCTTGGGAAAACAATGCACCATTTTTTCCACTCTAAGTAACTGCAAGGGTAGGTCCATGCTGCAGTGTCAAAGGTGAATGGCTGCCTCAAAGCCAGACGCTTTATTTTGCCGGGAGTTGTTTGGTTCTGATGGCAATTCAGCTGGGTTCCTGGGTATAAGAGGAGAAAACTCAACCTCCCAGTGCCCCAAACAGCAGTATGGCTGCAGGAGGCAGCGTAATGAGCTAAGTCCCAGGTGAAAGCAAGCCAGAAGACATTAAGTGCTGCTGTCTAGATGCACCCATGCAAGCATCTCATATGCTATAGCTTGGCAGGTCAGTCTCACCATCAGATTAAGACAGACTCGTGCCAGACAGACTCACCCATGGCACAGCAAGATCCCTGACAGAATCTGTCAAACCCAAATATTCCAGTTAAATTTGGTGAGGTACAGGGTTGGGGGGTTTTTTGAATGATACAACCCATAAGGTGAACACTTCTGAGGATCCCTCATTTAGTGAAGAGCTTGGATTTCATCTTCAGGGTAATGCCAGCTGCTGACCTGAGGTACCATACCACAGCCAGCTTTAGCAACATCCCATGGCACAGAACAAACTGGTTGTACCTTATATCACAGCTGAAGTTGTTTAAAGAAGTTGAGAAAATAGACAGATTGAGCTAACACAGTAAGAACCAGGTGTATCAAAATACAATTTATTCTTGAAACGGCTAGTTTACATGTAACAGCAAGGGTTACATAGGGGAAAAAGTGCAATTAGTGGAGGAGGCTTCTTTCACCTTAGTATTTATCGTCTCACTGCATTGCTAGTAGCTTCAGACTCAGGCTATTACACTTCATAGCGATGGGCAAAAATGTGATTTATATTTTGATGTTAACAGCACTTCTGTACAGCTAAAAGGTGTGCCAATATTCACATCTACTGAGCACATATTGGACAATTCCTCACACAAGTCTTGCATGAAACACAGATCACCTTTACAGTTTGCCAGCTCAGCTAAATTATAAGCAGATACAAAATATACATTAGCTTACTGAAGTCTAAAAAAGAAAAAACTTCAAAAAATGAGGTACAATAAAACAGAGCAGTTTCCTATTTATGTGCAAGCCTACATTCAGTCTAGAAAAAACTAGTAGCAACCCTGCTCTTTTAAAGAAACTAGCTTTCACAAAGTACAGCTAATTCACCATCTTCAATATGAAGGACCTTGCCTATGTCATTGCTAACTTTGCAATAGGGAGCAGGACACTTGACCATCAGATGCTGTAAGATTAGATCAGGTGATGAGTCAAATCATCTAATGCTGCTACAGACTAGGAAGTTTACAAATTACTTTGTTTTGTCACTTAACCCTATTTTTGGCATGTAGGGTGGTTTTAAAATCTTTTTAAAAAGGCACATTTTTCTTTTAAAATTAGAAGGTAATCATCTGCCTACTAAGTGAGTAGGATGATGAAGTCAAGGTTAGATTTGTTCTCAAATGCAAGACGTTTATTATTCACAAAGCCAATGAGGACAGAGATGTCTTCCCAAAGCAGCGGTCACTTCCACCACTCACTTTGCATGTGAAACCACTTGTTTTCTGTATTCTTCTTTTTATCCCATAGAAATTTCTCTGGGATTTAGAAGACCAGCTTTGGAAAGAAGAAATTAGAACACTGTACGTCTCCAAGTTATACAGCACAGCCTACCTCTTCCCCTTTACCCACATTTCCATTATCCTCTCCAAGTTTCTTAACCTGTATTGAAGCCACAAATCCTAGCCATCCATTCCTACCAGCCTCTGTTACAAGCACGCAGAGGGTCATAGCAAGCTTCTGTCCTGACAGCATCACCTCATCTCTACTGCACTCCTAATAGGTGCAAAATGAATTGTGATGTTCTGTTCATGTAACATCCCTGCGCATGCACACATACTCTCACACATGCAGTTACTACAGCTTGCTAAGGTACCATTGCCTTCCATACTTCTTTACAAGAGTCTCTCTCCTAGTGACTCAGGAGAGTCAACAGCAGAAAGCAAGCAGCGTATACTTAAGATACAGGCATGCTATTTCTACAGTAGGAGGCATACACGTGGGTTTTATCCGGGTTTTCTTTCCTTCCAAGGATAAGGTTTGGCTAAGAACTTCAGTAGCATAATATGGTTTACCAAGTCCCATGGACTAGTGGATTTGGATTTGCTCAGACAGCCAACAAAACCTGCCAGGGGGTTTCATCACGTAGTATGTGAACCAGAAAACTAACACTGTTCTGTTGCCAAATGGAAGAATGCTTCCTCGCTTAGTATCGATCACCAATATGGTGATGAATTTTCAACCTGACCCAAGCTCTGCCACTGGGGAAAGAGACCAGTGGACAGCCTCGGACTGCCTAGTTGATCAGGCTCTCTTTCTTGTCCTCTCCTTGCAGTCTGAAGATCTACACAGTCTTTCTTGGCAGATGGTATCTGAACGCCATCAGGCTTCCACTCTGCATGGAGAATCTTGTAATTCTGACCCTCATTATTGTCCCAGAAGGTATGTTCTCCACTTTGGTAAGAAATGCAAAACTCTATCTTCTCTTCAGGGGAAATGGCAGGAGGCAAGTCAATGGTAAATGAGAAGGTATCATTTTCAGAATCACTGTAAACATTGTTCATGTATACACACTCAACGTCCGTGTAAGTCTTCCACGAGTCAAAGGTAATTCGAACCTGAACCTTTTTTTCAAAGCTCACATTTTTTACTTTCACAGTGCCCGACAGCACCTTCTCTTGCAGGGTGCAGTTCTCCAGGCAGACCAAGTTCTTCTGCAGACGGTTCCTGAAGTCCAGGTAGTCAGCTGAGGGCCGAGGGAAACTCAGAATCAAGTTTTTCTCCTCATGTAGCTTTAAGCCAGATGTTATGTTTTCAATGCCTAAGAGGTCAAACTGAAGATCCCACCCAGGGTGCTCCTGGAACTCAGAGAAGGTGTGTATGGCTGTCAGGGACAGGCCCTTTGAGTCCGCAAACACAACTCGCTTCTTGGCTCGGGCTGCTGAGTGGTTCCAGTCACTCTTCTGAGCTTCGGAGTCACTTTTCATGTGAAGACACGGTCTGAGAGGTTTGAATCTGTTCACAAAGTTGTTTCTTTGGCAGTCCTCAAGGGGGCTGAGAAAACTCTTCAGCGGTGGGGAATGGGCTAAGCATATTCTCATGGCCACGTCCACGGGCATGATGGAACTTGGCAAGGGCCTTGGGTCCAAGATCTGTATCATTCTGAAAAGCAGAAAGACAGGACGTTATTATTTGTTACATCAGGTAAGAAGCGTCTTAAGAATGCATATTTGCTTCATCTGCTGTCTTAATTATTCATGGCCTCATCTTTGCACGTCTTTAACGCAGCCTAAATTAAAATGGACAGTTCAAGCTAAGGAACTAGGATGAGACTGTTCAGTCATTTCTTGCTAACTCTGAACTCTTTAAATTCAAATGTCATCTTGTCTGCTTTTTCCAAACCTCTGAAAAATAGATTTTAGTGACAGCCAATTAAACGTATTTCCTTGAAAATACAGAACATTCTAGTAACCACTAAAACAGATCCAGTTACAGTGGAAGTGCTCAACCACCTTAGCTTCCCTTTTAGAGACTCTAAGCCAGGTCTTAAAATTCCAGCAAGCTGGATCAGCTGCTTCACCTCTGAGCAGAGACAGCACTATATTAAGCAAGTCACCTATCCCATCACAGCATCAAATGGGAGGCTGTGTACCTTGGTGCAGAACCATCACACTGTGGCTCTGAACCATACATGTATGTTAGGCACCCTGGTTTTGGTTAATTCAGACAAATAAAAATGCTAAAGCACCTTTGGAAATATTTTCTATGAGCTATTAACCCAGGTCTAAGTAACAGAGCTCTCTTGCACTGTTAACATTGACTGCTGAGTGAATAGGACAAAAAAGAAAGTGGGTTGGGGGGGCAGGGCACACACTTTATTTTTTCACCTCATCAGACTTCAAGAACTGGCTTAAAAGCATCTTTTCATAATTCCCAAAGTCCATGCCGAAAGCCTACTGCAAGTGTTCAGTAAGAATGCTACAGCTTTATTTGTAAAGATTTATTCATATCCCTCCCTCCCAGATGATGAAAACCACAATTACTATGCAAGAGCATGGCCCATTCAAAGCCAGTTAGCTTGAATATTTGTAAAAATGGGCTTCAACTGCAGCACATCCCTTCTGAGAAAGATGCAGTCCTTGCTGGAAGTGCCGATTTTTGTTGAGTCACAGGAAGCCAGAGCATTTGCTTTGTCACTTAAATAAATGGCTTTCTCCTTTCCAGGGCTCTCACTGGTATTCCAGAGCCCTGCCAAAAAAAGCTGAAGCTGCGCTGGCCTCTTAATTCTTCTCCTTGCTTTTTTTATTGTGGCAGTATTTGCCATAATAAGTAGGACGAGGAGAGTACCAGCATCAAATTAATCAAGTTTGCTTTGCTTTAATAGGAAAAGAGCTAAGGCTTCAAAAATACTCTGCAACTTTTGTGACCAGCTCCTGGGGCAGCAGCTCCTAAGCTTTTGCAGTATCAAAAAAAGGGGGGGGGACACCCCAAAACGACAAAAACCAACTAACCAAAAAAACCCAGGAACACAACCTGGAAAAGGTAGGCTGCTAGAAGAGGCAAAACCGAACCGCCAGCAAGAGATGCGGCGGGTTCAGCAGCGTCATCGCCGGGCACCGCAGAGGCGTAAGGACGCGTTTGCAGGACCCGTAAAACCGGGGGAGGGGAGGGGAGCGGCGCAAGTTTCGAGGCGTTGCAGCCCCAAAGGCTGCAGCCCGCGGGCTGTTGTTTCCGCGGGCCCGGAGGAGCGTACCTACAAAAAAAAAAAACAAAAACAAAAAAAACCACACAACACAAAAAGGGAGCGAGAGCAGTAAAAAAACCCAAAGACCAGGGGAGGGAAAGCAGGCGCGGGGGCAGCGGGCGGAGCGGAGCGGCTCCCTGCCGCGGTG